GAAGCCACCAATACTTTTTATGTGAACCAGCCTTTCCTTCCCCTACCTGCTGATATAAAAAATAATATCGAGAAAAATTGGATCCGTAAAAGATGGCAAACCAGCAGGGATCCTCAACTGAAACGCGAACTAAACTCTATGCAAAAAGAAATCAACAGAAGAATCAAGAACTTCAAAAAACCAAAAATGGATCAATTTCCTAAATAACCTATCTATATATTCCCTATTTGACATTTCCCGCAAATTAAAGAAACCTTATAAACCTATCCCACCTATCCATGGACATAGTGGAATTTCATATACAGAAGAAGATAAAGCTAAATCTTTTGCGAACTATATGAAAGATACATTCACTACTAATCCGACAAATACCATATTCAACGGGTCAGTTTGGTAGTCAATAACTTCCTTAATACCCCTGCTCCGTACTTTACTGACCATCTCAACAATCGTTGCCAACACCATCAGCTCCTTACAGACGAAGAAAGCCCCAGGGCACAATGGCATCTCGACCAAAGCACTGAAACATCTTCCGATCAACGCTCTTACCTACTTAAGATAATCAACAACATTAACAAATTCGCTCATTTTCCTAGCTCATGGAAGCAAGCTATAATTATTGTTTTTGCTAATCCGCAACAAAATCCCACCTTCCCACAGAACTATCGCAGTATCAGTTTACTTAGCCATTTGTCTAAGTTACTGAGAAAATTCTACTTTTCCACATCCAAAAATTCACCCTTCCATGAATTTTCTCTCAAAAGAACAACTCGGTTTTGGCAGTTATCATAGCATTTGCCACCAACTTCTTAGAGTTATCAACATTACCACTGAAGGCTACAACTGCAAGCTTCCGACCGGTGTCATATTCCTCGATATCGCGAAAGCTTTTGACAGGGTATGGCATCGCGGCCTTATTTACAAACTAATCACTCTCAATTTTTTAGATCATTTTATTTGCTTAATAGCCTCTTTTCTCAGCAACAGAACATTCCGATCAAAATCAGTACTGCTTACTCAACCACCAGAGTAATTAAAGGTGGTGTCTCACAGGGGTCGGCACTTTAGTAGTATCTTTTTAATATTTATGCACAAAGACATCCCTAAAGACCCTTCTGTTCATCTAGCACTCTTTTCCGATGACACCGCCATACTTACTAAGGGGCGAATTCAAGTGCAACGCTTGTCATGGTAATCGCACTTGCATTGCAAAATCGGATTCAAGTGCAACGCTTTTCGGACACGCCTTCTGCAAATACGTCACTACCATAGAGGAATTTTGCGGCTACTTCTGACCTGCCGCAAACTTTTAACAGCGATTGTAAACAAGATGGCTGAAAGTGATTTTGCTCAGACGTTTAAGAAATCGGAGAAATGCTGATCGAATTCCTTGGCATTTAAGAGACAGACGTAATCCTTTTGAAATGTCGGAGCGTGAATTCATCAGTAGATTCAGATTAAATCGGTTTGCTTCAATGAATTGAAACCTTTTCTGAAGGCAACTGCCAATGGATATTTTCTGCAAAATTAGGGCGTATATTAGAGTTGTACCAAAGATAGTTCCTGAAACATACTGACTTAAGAGAAACATACATACGTCTAATTTATGCACAATAATTTGACAAACATTGATTTCAGGTAAAGAGCTACATGTATTATATCAAAGAAAGAATGAATAAGTGCAATTTGCCTTTATCCTATAAATACTTAAAAACATTTACATTAAAAAATGAATTATACATAATCGTAGCAAATTTTTAATGAAAAACAAAACAAGAGTTGAAAACTTAATGCAGTTTTGTCAATATTTTACTCTCTTAAAATTTATATAAATGTATAGAAACTTGAAATGCATACCACATTTGGCTGGAAAACTTGTGGTATTGTACTGCACTCTAGGGAAAGGGGAAAAGTATACAATGAAGCAATCATAAGAATAAAAGTATTTGCATATTATTGAAACCACCTTAATAAAAGTTACCAAATTTTCAAAAATGTGCCAAACTCTGTCAATGATTATGCATCAAAATTTTTCAGGTAACATGCTCATGACAATTTTTCATTCAAGCAATGTCACCATTTTCATATGTGTTCCTTATATTGTATTTCAAGTTCCAATGGTTTTTAGATACGAATAGTTGTTTTAGATTAATTTCAGATTTAAAATACTGCTTGTGGAGTTTAGCATCAAAAGAAGAAGCTGTGTTAAAAGTTCTGCAGGAATAGAATATTTTAGTACAAAAATTTCTAATGGAAACAACTATGAGATGAATTTGGTACATAGACAAGGCATGCAGTATCAAGTTTATGTAATTCTCTGTTTTTTTTTTTTTTTTTTTTTTTTTTTTTTTTTTTTTTTTAGTGAAAACTGATCACTTGGCACAAGCAGTGAAGAAAAGTGCTAAAAAATTAGACAAAAAATTTGTGGAAAATGTATTTTTTTTAAACTATCATATAATTTTTATTTAATAATTCAAATTAGTATTTAAAAATTTGTTAAATGTTTTTTCCTTTGATATGTTATAACGTTTTGCTAACTTAGATAAATATTGATAGTTTGGTTATGCTAAAAGCAAGCTGCAAAAACAACGTACTTCTCCTGATAAGTATTTTTCTCTTTTCATTTATAAAGACCACCAAACTGATCCAGGTATTTGTGTTAATATGTAAGTACCAAAAAATATTGAAGAATGCACAATGAAAGATGGCAACCAGTATGGTAACAGATATAATTAATATATGAAATGAAAGAAATCTTATTAAAAGACGACTTTAGACGATTATCAGCAGAGAAGCATGACACAGTTACAGTAAAGAAATTAAGCTTTTGTTTCTGCACTTGTAGCTTTTAATAGCAAAAAATTGTTTTTTGAAATTTTATGAAATAAATAAATCTGAACATAACTGATATCAAATGAGAATGGGGTCCAAAGTTTCACTTAAGAAGCAGAAGTGTACTGTAAATGCACAATATAATGAGCAGAACACAAAGCATTATTAATAAATTAAAGCTTTACTCTGGATGTATATATTACATTAATATCACATTAGAATTAGCACTTACTACAATTCAGAGTTTCATATAATTTTTATTTACTGTATTATATTGAAATACCTTTAATTTCATTTTTATATTTTCCCAACGATGTACAATATAAACCTTAAAATTGCTCTTAACTGTTTGCATCACATAATGAATGTCTATCTAAGGGAAGGAATGCCTGCATGGCAAAACTAAGGAAAACTTAGTATTCATGTTATACATTGAAAAAATGAAGAGAACACTCATGCAGCTAGCTTTTTCACCTGGATTTAAAGAGAGACTGGGATAGCGGTGTTCAGCAGGCTTATCTGCTTGGCACATAGATGGACTTATTAATTATACTATATAATTCAAAGAACTAGTTAAATTTCATATGGTAACATGCCTACTGTCACTGAAGAATCATGCATCTGCATTGAACAATAAAAATATAACACAAATTTGAATTTTTAAACTAAACTTACTATTAGAAGAATTAAAAACCAAATGCTGTAATTTGAAAATGGGAAAAAATTGTGGTTTATATTTAAAAAAACAAGTATTTTTGTCTGAAAAGTAAAATATATTTTACACACACCTGTTGCTCTAGATTACTTTGGAGGGAATCTATAGGATAAAGTAAATAAAGTTGTACACATTACATTACATGTCTGTATATTTCCTTCGTTTTCAGGACTGGAACACTTCGTTACACCACCCTACAACGCAGTAAACACTTGACCATAAGCTCAGAGGAATCATGGGAACTGATGTTTTTTGTTTACATCGACACGCAGTCTCATTGGATATTGATGTAGTTTATCGGACAAGCTCTCCTGGCACGAGAGCAAACCAGCTCCCCATTGCAATTTTGACGTCATCAGTTAACAGAGCGGTAAAGCGTTGCACTTGAATTCAACTTTAGCAGCCGATAGCAGGAATGCCTCTTGCGAGCTAACACTTGCAATTTATCAGAGCGTTGCACTTGAATTCGCCCCTTAAGCCTGCACAGCAATCGCAGTAAGAAACCAACTCCAAAACTATCTCGTAAAACTGGAAAAACGGCTGAACAATAAAAATATAACACAAATTTGAATTTTAAACTAAACTTACTATTAGAAGAATAAAAACCAAATGCTGTAATTTGAAAATGGGAAAAAATTGTGGTTTATATTTAAAAAAACAAGTATTTTTGTCTGTATAACAAGTATTTAAAAAAACAAGTATTTTTGAGGATTAAAATTAATACTAATAAAACCAAGGCAATAATTTTCCGTAAGGGAAATATGAAATACTATCTTCCTTCCCCTGAAATATTTGACGACGAAATAGACTGGATTAAGGAAACCAAATACCTTGAAGTCACTCTTAATCAAAAACTTAACTTCAGAACTCACTTCCGCTCCGTAGAACACAAATTTAAAATCTCCACAGCCACTATGCGACCTCTTGGTAGAAAAAGCAACTTATCTACTACAAACAAATTAATTTTGTATCGCTCCTTACTTCGTCCAGCCCTCCTTTATGCAGCTCCCATCTGGGAACATGTAGCTAGAACCAATATTAAACAATTACAGATTCTGCAAAATAAAATTCTCCGAGAAATTCGCTTTGGTATATTCCAAACATCTACATTCACACAGACCTTCAAATCGAACTTATTCAAGAGTATATTAAACGATTAGCGGTCAACTTCTTTTATCCAGTACAAATCTCAGACACTCCCCGCATCCCGGTGAAAAACCTTAGCACCCATGTCATATCCTACCCACATAAGAATTACAACCTTAATTGACTCATTCAAGCTTAACTGACTCTGCGGTCTGACATCTTGTAACGACACTCAACTTACCCCCCCCCCTTTTCGCCGCCGCTAGCGCCGACCTGACTCTCTTTTTCCGCCTCCCACACCTCCTATCACACTACTCCTCTTACTCCACCTTCCAGATTCTTATCAGAAGTCGAGTAAAAAGATGTTTCTACATCTTTTGACTCTCGAGAATAAAATACGATCTGTGCATCTGTTTACTGTCCTCTGAACCCTGAATTTTCTTCTTAGTGGCAGAAAGACGTAGCGTGTACTTTTTCTACTCAATTTACCAAAAATCCTACGATCTGGCAACATTGGCTGTAAGGTTGATTAACTGCATTTAGTATTTGTGTACTTTATGGTACGTTCGTGAATTATAGAGTACATAAATTCACATTGAAGGGCAATGGCTGGTAAAGTGCGAAGATTTGAACCTCCGGATTTAACGAATGTTGAGTTTGATACTAGCGAAGATGTGGAAATTATTCCAACATTTGATGCCATAGGGCTAAGAGAAGATCTCCTTCGTGGAGTTTATGCATATGGTAACAATGGAATTATTATAATTATTAATATCCGGAATTTTATAATAAATCATTCTTATGATTTGTTTTCAAAATTGAATAGTATCTTAAAAGGTTTGCAGTGAAAATTTGTATTACGTCATTGTTCTACATCGAAATTATATATCATTTGCAGACCCTTCTTATATAATACTGAAAAGGGAAGTGAGATCTTTTTGTTGTTGTTGTTTTTAATTCTTCCCCATCCAGAGAGAATTATGTTACTTCGTATTGTCTTACTAAAAAACATACTAGTAAGTCCTCCCTCCCTCTATAGGTTTACTTGTTCTCTGAAACAGTTTCATTAAAAATGCAATCATCATCACACGTTAATATTTATAGTTGATTGTTCAATAAGTTTCCAAAACTCCGATTTAAAAAAAAATGTATATATATAATTCTGTGATATAGGCTGTGCATGTTTTGTTGTGGTTATTTAATAATTGACAATTCTTGGTTTTGGGGTAATGTTACAGGTACTTTAGCAGTATTGCAACTACCATAATAGGTACTGTCAGAGTTTCGGCATATCTCAGACTCTGGTAACCACACAGATGACCGACCGTTTTCAGGCAATCCTATGTAAGATAATTCTTCGGTTTTAGCTATTAGGATCTTTATTTTAAGATTTATTTATTTATTTATTTTTGGTCAGTGCTGTATCTTATATTTAAATGGTTTTATAAACAAACCATGATGACTTCTTGTCTTAAACACGATTTTAAAATATATGATTTTGGGATTTGCCTGCATTGGAAGAAAGTTGGGTGCAGTTTTTTTGCAGGAATACAGTATTAGAACTACTCTCGTATATGCCCTCGATTGGCAAAAAATTTCTTGTCAAACATTTTTGGCGAGAAACTACGCCAACATATTACTACCTAAATTTTTTGTCTACATTTCGAACTTTAAAATGTGCGAAAACCACGTTTTGAACACTCAATTTAAGCTTAAATCCGAAGCAAAAACAAAAAATTTAGATAACAAAAATATAAAATTTCAAACCAAAATATTTGACAGGAATCTATGTACACAGCTATATGTTTTAACATAAAAAAAAAAAATCACAGAATTGCACAATCTATGCAGCGAAGGAATCTACCAACTGCACACACCTAGATTAAGTAGATTAACATAACAACAGTAAATTTCAAAGAATACCATGTACACAGCTTTCTGTTTAAACTTTAAAAACATCCAATAATTGCACAATCTAGGCATTCCGCACTAATCAACAAAATAAACTAAAGTAACTAAAATAAATTTCAAACAATAATGACAGAAATTCATACTAAATGCTTCTTCGAACAAAAGAAATACCAATTTCGGACTTCACCAAAACAATTTATTTCACCACATATTTGCTAAAAGCATCTTCCGTTTCAGAACAACAATGGAAAAATATATAAACCACCAAATAAAACTCCGCATTTCCGGTTATAAGTCGTCAACGTAGCTTTAACTATAACAGTAGTAAAATCCAAGTTTTCTTGTAAAAGGGTTGCCATAGAACCAACATCTTCCCCCAAACCATCACAGAACACACAGTCATGCCAAAAAGCAGTGCACAACACATATCGCCGCATTTGGTGACCTGAGGGCGCATATAAGAGTAGAGCCATATTATTTTGCTTCAAAACTGCTAAAGGAACAGGGCTTCAAATCTCTTTTCAAAGTGATCGTCACAAATTTCTATTAGAACAAATAAACGGAAAGCTTGCTTATAAAAGTTTGTTGATTGGTTTTGGGAATAAATGCATGGCTGAAAGGTAAATTATGTATGTAAAAAATTATTTTTTAAAACAAAAAAGTCATTGTCATATCTTTCTGTGAAAGTCGCAAATTCCGTCACCACCTTGAAGTTTCATTTTTAAATTTATGTAATCATTAATCCCACTTTAGCTTTTTTTTTTTTTTTTTTTTTTTTTTAATTTTAGGCTTTGAGAGACCATCAGCAATTCAACAAAGAGCTATAAAACCTATAATGAAAGGGCGTGATGTTATTGCTCAGTAAGTTAGTTAATTTTTATCTTCTTATGATAGTATCTTAAATAGTATCGTAAGTATTAAAATATTGAATGTTCATTTGGCATTTTAGATATGTATTTTATTTATGAGTAAAGCTAAATTTCTTTAATGCAGTATAATTCAATATGTAATAATTTTAATGTTGTGTATTGAAAGTAGTTTTCTCCCTCCCTCCCATTGAAAATAAAACTAGCCACATTGAAAGAAGTGATGCAAATGATTTTTTATGGTCATTTGTTTATTTAATTCTTACAATGGTGAGTTAGCTTTTGAAGGTCTTGTATAAATAAAAAATTCTGTTTAATTATCTAATATATGTATTTTTTATCAACTGTAGTTTGTGGTGTTAAATAAGAAGGAACCAAATATATAATTCATTCCCATCTAACATGAAATTGCCAAATATGGTATGCACCCTATTATTACCTTCACGTTAGTCAAATTATTAATAAAAACAGATATTCTCTTATTTCTTACAGTTGATGGGAAATGTGTTATAGGTAATCTGTAATGCTTTTAAAGAGATTTTGATTGCTTAATACAAACATTAAAAGCTCTATAAGGTATTTCTCTAGCAAGCCTTCTTAGTGTAGTGGTCAGCACGCAAGGCATGTATTCCAGAGGTCTGTGGTTTGATTCCTGGTGAAGGCATTGTTCACTTTTAATCTTTCCTGCTTTAAAAAAGTACCTAATATCTCTACAGTAGCGCCCGAGCAAAAAGGTGGTGAATGATGACTCTTCACCACCAGGATTTGGCCGATTGGGTCTCCTGGTCCCTGGTCAGCCTTTAAAAGGGGGAGTATATAAGGTATTTCTCCCGTCTTCTTAGCAGGACTTTGTGGTGTAGTGATCAGCATGCTGGGTGCGTTTTCCAGGTCCGTAGTTTAATTCCCCATGAAGGCTTTGTTCATTTTTCATCTTTCCTGCTTTAAAAAAATCCCTAATGTATCTACAGCTCTTTTAAAAAGTAAAATTGTTTAACATATTTTCAGCAAGCTACACTATAACAATGCAAGAAAGTGTGTCACTTCCACATATATCATTTCAAGTGCAAATCTGATGAGAAGTGCTGTAATTCAAGTTATGTAATGCATGATCTGAATAAATTGATTGTAAAACAACCATCTTCTCAAAACTCTGTGAGGGGTAAAATGAAAAGGTACAAAAAGACACTGTGGGTATAATTGAAGTCTTTATTCACAAGTAATCACCAGATACCTGAGAACAAATGTCCCAGTGCTTCATGAGCCGAAGGATTCCTTGTTCCCAGAATTCCTCTAGCTCTTAGACCTAGTCCTCCACTCCAAGGTATGAAAAGACACTGTGGGTATAATTGAAGTCTATTCACAAGTAATCACCAGATACCTGAGAACAAATATCCCAGTGCTTCATAAGCCGAAGGATTCCTTGTTCCCAGAATTCCTCTAGCTCTTAGAACTAGTCCTTCACTCTGTCCTTTAGTTCGTCGTCTGAGTTGAAGCACTTCCCTTTGAGATTTTTCTTAGTGGGCCAAACAAGGTGACGTGTCTGGTCTGTAGGGTGAATGTACAAGCTGCTGCCACTTAAACTTGGCCCTTACACTTTGTGTGACCTTGGAGATCTGTGGATGCATGTTATCGTGAAGCATCAAATAGAATCACTCCCTTTATGTGCAACTCGGGCCTTTTGCTCTTAATGGACTTGTATAGGCTTTGGAGTGTCTACACAGTACAAATCACTGTTAATTGTTTTTCCATGCTCGAGGAATTTGATGAGTATCAGAGCTCGCATGTAGACTGTCAAGAATTCACATTAATCTAACAACAATCAAATTTATATCAATAAGTATTTTAACATATAATTATAAAACAATTAATAAGTATATTAAATGAATAGAAAATATATTCAAACTATAATCATTATACTAAATTCTAAAAAAGATATGTTATCATGAAATATAATTTGACCTAAACTATTAATTCTTAATCATATGAAACTAAATTATCAAAATAAAAAATTGCATAAAACATATTCAATCTTATTCATATAATTAAACAATAAAAAAAATGTTTTTAAAGTTTCCAAAATCACATCCATCTGGAGCTGAACAAAATTTTCATGTGTAACAAATTAGAAAGCCATCCTTCTAAATGAAATCCATAATCCTTAGAGGGTTAAAGGTGAAGTAATATTCAGTATAACTCAATACTGTCGCAGATAATAATTTTTTCAGCAAAGAAAATCTCAGGCAGAAAATGGATTCAAGACACATAGCCATTTTCATTGCTATGCTCTGTGAGGGAAAGAAAATTCTCAAAGAAGGGGAAGTTTAGAGTGTAGATCATTCCAGTTATTCAACATCCAGATTTCGGACTTTATACTGTATTATTGTTATTAGTAGTAGTAGTAGCCCAAAGGACGTCAGCCCAGAAGGTCTATTAATTTCGTTTGGGCATTTCGTGTTGAAAAATTTAAATATCGGTTAACTTTTCAGACTGTTGCCACCAAATATTACAGACTTGTTATATATTTAAAGAAATTAAATAATAAAGAATCTGCATAAGTGTATGTATGTGTCTCGCATTGCGATAAAACAACGGTACTTGGAGACATCAAATTTTGAATAACGCATGTTTCCATCCAACAATGGGCATTTGAAAGCCCAAATTTGGAATTTGTTTTATTCTTGATTTTATATTTTGTAAAACTTTAACGAATTTTTAAATAACAAACTCCAGGATTTCAAAGCGAGTAATGTGGCAATACTGTACAGGCATAAAAAATAAAAATAAAAATCTGCATCCTGCGAGTATCGGAAATTTTAAAGATGTGCTCACTTTAAAATTATTTTGCTATATTGCTGTTGAACTGAATTTTATGGTTTAAGTGCGAAGAACATGATATTTAATAAATAAAGGTAACCCACAAAACGTTCAAGAAACACCCCTTTGGGCGTAATGTAAAATCTGAAAGCTTTTAGATTTATTATTATTACAACATACAGTGACATATATTAAAAGGAGGGATGCCTTTGTGGAAGATTTTAAAGGAGAATTGATTTGTATCTATGCTACACATGCAAAAAACCATGAAAACCTCTCATGTGTTTGGCTCAGTCATTGAGTGTCAAACCAGAATTCTTCCAGTTGCTAATTGAATGTTTAGCCATTACCCTACAAAAACATTTGATTATAGTCTGATTAACATTTAAGAAACATATTTGAGAAAACATTAGCTTGTATTTAAGTTCAGAAAACAGCAGATAACTTGTTTAAATTGTATTTAAAGAGAAAGTGGAAATAAATGTTTTAAACTCAATTACTGCGTTAGTTCAGAAATTAAAACCTTCAATAATAATAAGTCTCTAATCAAATATATTTTACAAGGAGCAATGATCTTCAAATTGATTGAAATAAATTACAGATCAGTTATGAGTTCATTTTTATCTATTTGTAGCACTCCATATTGTTGTGAATTGCAAGTTCTTTGATATCTCTTTAAATAATGACTCCAGGTAAACAATAAGATATTGAACATTTATTGTAAAAATTGGCTTGATAAATAACTGTCAATGGCACAAAAAGAACGTGCAGTTTAAATATTTTCTCCTTAGTGCAAGGAACCACCAGTGGTCGAATAGTAATTCTGTAGATCATTGGTAGTTTAACCTGGGTTCAGTTCCACATGAATGGGTTCGCTGCATAGGCATTTTCCCGGTATGTAACTGGCATAAGCCATTTTCCCATAGAAAGTCCTTCATGAAAGCATCCCTTTCCTTAGACAGATAGCCTTCCTTAGACATAATTCAGATAAACCAATAGCAGAGTAAATAGCTCAAGGAGAATGTGAATATTAATCAGTTCTTCCTTAACACTTGCACAAGAAATATCGTCAACTCTCAAAATCTCTTGCAGAGTAAACTCTAAATTTCAATTCGGCTAGTTGCTAAATCTCACTGCTGATAAGAACTAACCCAAGATCTCAAAGCCGTATTTATATAGTGTAGCGAGCAGTCAGCTGTAGGGTTTCAAAAATATATTTTCTCAATTCTTATACAAAATCACTAGGTTAGAGAGAAATCACCCAATATCACCAACTTGGCTACGATTTTTGTCACAAAGGCTTGTCAGAAACATATTTACCCATATCCTGCTTCTGCTGGAGTTATTTTGGTTGATCTTTACATTATGGTAACTTGGCGTTTTTTTGGCAAAAATTTGGCGACCAACTCTCCTACAGCAACCCTCTATTTTTTTTCCCCGCCGCCATTTTGTCTTCATGAAGTAAAGACATGTTTCTTTTTATCTGCTAAACACTTCTTCTAACAATCTAGTAGCCGAATTACACTTATGCTAGAAATTTTATCAAACAAAACTGCTTAATCATGACAAATATTCACTGCAAAATTGGGAAAAAGTGCACAATACCATACTCCTTACGCGTTTTTCAAAATAACACATACACATAAACCATGTACACGGCGACTTATTTTTACTTAAAAAAACATCCCAGAATTGCACAAAAATGGCATTGCGCACACTCTTCACTATATCCATGTACACTGCTTTTTTCTCATAAATTAGAAAAATTTCACGAAAATACATGACAATTTTCTCAATCTTTAAACCCGGTAAAAAGAACATATATGAAATTACCTGATCGCGAAAAAGTATTTACCCTTTACAAATATGAACATTTCCTCATATAAAATAAATAAAATATCCAAAAACTTTTACCTCTAAATCATCTATTACATTATACATGTCACCAACGAATTCATACCGCAAGCATTACAAATACTTAATATCAAATATTTAAATTATTTCCATGCACGTTTATTTCAACTTAAACGTATACCAAATTCCTACAAACATAAATTCACAAAATAACTATCATTTCATTAAAATATAATTAAATTCAAAAACACTACTTAAAATATAAATGAGCACATACATTAAATTAATAAAAATTACCTTACAATCCTAATTACTTTAAACTAAATCATTGCTAATAACAATTTTCCCAATAATACAAAATTCCTTTCCACCTTACATTTAGAACAATGCATAAAAATAATATCCTCAAATAATTAAAAATACTAACTTACCTAATCTTTAAAGATCAACCGTTATTTTTATAATTTAAATGTTGCTGCACTGAAGATCTACAAAGCTACTATATAAGGAATAAACACTTAAACTGTGGCTGCAAATGTAATTAAATGCAAAATAAATCCTAAAATTATCAACCTATAACCAATGACTTAATAAACTAAGTAAAAATGATGCCAAAAGAGTGCAATTGAAAGAATTTAAATATTTACAGATGTTTACAACAGTATGTAGCAAAACCTGAATTTAATTTTTTCTTGCTAAATTGGTAGTCATTCTGAAAACTATGCTGATTAAAAATGTTAGAATGTAAAAGGGAAAACCAAATTATTGGCTCTGAATAATGAAATATTAAACTATGAATTAAAAGCAAGCATTATATTTTTTAGTTTTGTTTCTGGAAAATTTAATTATTTTATATGTATATTTACTGTTATTATTATTTTTTTTACTTTTTAATGTATGTGGCATAATTTTGTTTTTGCTAAGTATGCAAAATGTTAAGGGGAAAAAGCAGACTCCAATAAAATTTCTTTTTTAATCTAGAGCACAATCTGGGACTGGAAAAACTGCAACCTTTTCCATTGGAGTTTTACAGGTACTTGATACAGAAGTAAGAGAGACACAAGTTCTGATATTATCTCCTACAAGAGAGCTTGCAGTACAAATTCAGAAGGTATGCATTAATTTCGTTTTTAAAAAAATATTTCGTACAAGACTGATGCTGTCTATCTTATGTGCTGTTTATTTTTTATTTTTTAAATGTGCTGGGAGAGTTGCCCAATTAATTTTAGTGATCTAAATTTTACTTTATGAAGTTCTTTGTTATTGAATATAAATATTAAATCTTATTTTTAAAATGCTATGAGAAACAGTTGTCCATATTGAGTCTACTTTGTGCTTATTACAAATATTTTAATGCATAGTCTTAGCTTTTTTAAACATTTAATTTACAAATCTTTTATTATGAGCTTCATTTAATATCTACAAGTAAATTGATTCACATTTTCATAACTATACTGGTATAATTTGAGAACTTGTCTCTAGCAGCTTCAGCTCAAATGTGTTGATCTTGCAAGTGCAAATAGTGTGTTTATTAATGTGATTCATGTCTCTAAATCTACATAGAACTTGTAAATAAATATATGTTCATGTAACAAAAAGTGTATTTCCCATTATTATTAACCAACATTAAAAAAATTAAATTCTTTATTTGGTGAAAAGAAATTGTTACTCCTATAATAAATAACTAACAGTAACTTCTTTCATTGATGATTGCTTTATTTTATCATGTAAACTTCTGAAAGATAATTATTTGTGGTTTGTGATAGTTTTATCTGCTACATCACTTCTTAGCAAAACTGCAGTGATGTTAATCTGTTGAACTAATTATAGTAGGTAAATCACATGGTGGTTATAAATGTGGTTGGCTTCTTGTAAATGGATTTCTTGGTCTCATTCTTAGTAGCTGTCTGCATTTTTCATTGTTTCACATTCAATGTTGCATAATGTTTTCTTCAGTTATATACAATTTAAAAAACTTTTTTTGTGTCCGTTTGGAAATATTTCATTATTATGAAAAAGCAAATATTTTTCATTTTGTTACCAATATTTCTGAGTGGATCCAGAAAAAAATGTAAACATTGAGAGCATGGTTGCACTAGGGAGACAGACATTTATTGACAAGACATTTATTGAACTTGCCACCAACCAGGATTCTAGTAGCAGTTAATGTGTATAAACCGAAGAAACTTTTGATACAGAGTAAAATATAAGTTGTGCTTAAGGTACATAAAGAAGAAGTGCTCATATTCATTGAATGCTCTGGATAATTTGAAATAATAAAACCAGCATTTGCGTGTCCTAGATGTTAAGTCATCTAAAGTTTATACGGTCAAAAGTCGTTAATCCGGACTTGTCAGGACTTCGGCGATTCCGGATTATCGATTTTTCCGAATTATAGATCATCAGTTTAATTCTGGTAAGATGGCATGCAGAAATTATAAAATTAAAAATATAAAACCGTAATTTATGAAATAAAGAGCAATTATGATCTAAAGGGTATCAAAATTTACAAAAAAAAAAAAAAAAAAAAAAAAAAAAAAAAAAAAGCTTAATATTTATTTGTTTACTTTATTAAACATTTCTTTCAGTTTAAGTTGCTTCATTTTTAAGTGATAATATGAGGAGTCAAATGAAAACCATAATTATTTTTTTTAATATTATTTATTGGTCACACAGGGTACAGAAGTAAATCACTTTTCAACATAGTCCCCTCCTCGTTCAATGCAAGCCCGCGAGCCCTTCGGAAGAGCTTGAATACTTGCAGAAAAAAAGTCTTTTGGGCGATGGTGCAACCACTCGACTCGTGCACCGCGTTGCGTACCTCTTCATCGAATTGGAACTTCCTGCCGCTCATTGCTTCTTTGAGTGGACCAAACAGATGGAAATCGCTCGGTGCGAGGTCTGGCGAGTAGGGGGGATGTGGGAGGTATTCAAATTTCAGGTCTGTGATGGTCGCAACGTTGCACGCGCCGCATGGGGCCGTGCATTGTCGTGTTGCAGCAGCACACCGGCTGACAGCAATCCACGTCGTTTCATTTTGATGGCAGACCGGAGATGATTTTTTAGGAGGTCCGAGTACGTAGCACTCATCACAGAGGTTCCTCGTGGCGTGTAGTGCTCCAAGATGATGTCCTTTTCGTCCCAAAAGAGGGTTAGCATAACCTTCCCTGCAGACAGCTGTGTCTGAAACTTTTTGGGTTTCGTTGATGAGGAGTGGCGCCACTCCTTGCTCGCTCGCTTTGTTTCAGGCTGATGGTAATGCACCCATGTTTCGTCACCAGTGACGATTCGTGACAGGAAGGCATTACTGTCACGTTCAGCATGCCACAAAAGGTCTTCGCACGCATCAACACGTCGCTGTTTCAGTTCAGACGTCGGTTGTTGGGGCACCCATCTTGCAAACACCTTATGAAACTGTAGAACATCATGCACAATATGATGTGCCGATCCATGACTCATGTGTACACATGCTGCAATTTCGTCTATTGTCATACGGCAGTTTTCCAAAACGATGGCTTCAACGGCTGAAATGGTCTCTGGAGTCACTACGCGCCGAGCCTGGCCGGGGCGTGGAGCATCGGCCATGGACGTAACACCATTTGCAAATTTCCGGCACCATTCATAGATTTGTGGCTGTGACAAACACGCATCTCCGTACTGAACCTTCATTCGCCTAAAAATGTCAATCGGTTTCACACCTTCACCTCGCAAAAACTGAATCACAGAACGCTGCTCCTCGCTGATGCATGTGGCTAGTGGGGCTGCCATTTTGGAACTGTTGTTGCGCCGGTGTTTGTGCATCTGCCGGCTGCTGCAACCTAGAGACATCCGGCATACTATCGCAAACAGGCATGTCAACTTACTGCTCACTGGCGCCATATGCGGATTTTTATTTCTACTTTTATGGTTTTCAATTGACTCCCCTACATACTTTCTCTTTAATTCTATAAACAGACATAATTTCTTGTTCAGTTATAAAGTTCCGCTGTTCAAGTCCTATAATCGCTGTGTCGAGAATACCGACTAATTTGTCAATCGTAATTTTTTCGTTTTCAATAACCTCTGTGTCACTTTCTTCACTATCGAAAGTGAATTATAATGACGAGAAATTTGATTTAAATCATATCAAAGACGGAGTACATCGAGATGAAATACTACACTTAGTAAGGAATTATAAGCCAAATAAAATAAAAACATCTCCCCTGAGGATAAGGATAGTGCTGACAGATCAACTTCCAATTCATTTCGCGCCGCGACGTCCCCCCCCTCCCGCAGAGCAGCGTGAAATTCATAAACAGATTTCGGAATGGTTACAGAAACAAAGGATATGCCTTTATCCATTTTTTGCAGCAATTCCACTTTTTGTTTGATGGACATCGAAACATACTTTCGCTTTGTAGATCCTTTAAAATTCGATTTGACATAATTGAAAGTTCAAGCTTACTTTTATAAAATTGCTCTAACAGTCTGCAAAAAATAATAAGCCAGATCCAATTCAAAGATTAAGGAGCAACGCAATCTGCAACATTAACTGAAATAGATAATTAGATGATTTTAGCTTAGCTTATACCGTCCATTATACATTAAACATGTATGCGTAAATGTATTATGCGCATGCGTAAAAGTATTACGCGCATGCGTGGATGCATTATGCGTTGACACACGCACAAAAAGTTTGTAGCTTTGAGGTCCGGATTAACGACTTTTGACTGTAATAGTTTACTCCAAGATTTCCAGAAGATATTGAAGGAGAACTGGCTCAGCTGATGTATGTATGTAAGCATTTTATTTTTTCAGGTAATTATTATAAATGTGGACAATTAGTAAATAATAGGAGGAGACTATGTTAAGGAAACCAATAGTGGATAAATAAATCTGCATAGGATGAATGTATCATTAAATGGCCATATAACAATAATATGATGTTTTTTAAATCTAAAAAGAAAAGTTTTAAGGCAATACTTGGAAAGCTAAATGGTTGAAACAAACTCTGCCTGATAAAAGCTTGATCTTAATGGTGTACTAGGTTTTAAGATGTGTTATTATTCTTAAAGAAGTACTGTAAAATTATTTTTCATAGCTATTCTCTTAATTTTTCTTAATAAGTAAATTTCAAATTGATATTTTTGGGGGACTGCATTTAGAGTTTTGGTGTATTTTTTAGTAGCCTTGCAAAAAAAAGGAAAATGTAAGTGATTTTGTCTTGGTGAGAAGTAAATGGTTACTGATACACACAAGCAATACATTCATATATGATGATATCTCATATTTGTATCATTTATAATTTATTATTATATTTTTCAACTTTTTTATTTAATTTTGTAGTGCAAGTTTTATATTTGCTTTCTTATTCCTATTTCAGAATTGTTCAGAAAATAGTCAATAGCTTTGTTTGCTTATTTCTTGAATTAAAAGCAATTTTATATATTTATTCAGTGTGCTTTTTCCTTGCAAAGTTTTGTTGCGAGTATATAGTTTCGAACGATTAAATTAATTTCAGTTTATATGAAATTAATTAATATTAACTTATTTAATTCATTCGTCCTTTGTATTAATTATTCATTTCTTTTAATGTAAAACATAAGAAATAATAATCGGGTTTTAAATTTGTTTTAACTTATCGTGTGATTTTGTGAAAGGTATTTCAAAGGAGGAAAAGATTACTGTACCTTATTTTCATGTATGTGTTGTTTCTAAAATTGTCAATAGGTATATGCTAATGATTGAACTATTTCAGGTTATTTTAGCCTTAGGGGATTACATGAATGTGCAGTGCCATGCTTGCATTGGAGGAACAAATCTCGGAGAAGATATCCGCAAATTAGATTATGGACAGCATGTTGTTTCTGGTACTCCTGGACGAGTATTTGGTATGATAGCTTTCATAGATGCCTTTGATTTCATTTTATTTTTCGTACTTTTTTCTTTACTTGACAGCACTTAGAACCAAACAAATGTTAGCATGAAATTAAACTAGATGGTGGCAACCCTAGTGATATGTAAAGCTTCATGGAAGCGAATGAACTCATAATAATTGTAATATACGCTGAAAGGCCATTACATTATGACCACCCTGTTAATAACATGTAGAAACAACACCTCTAGCCCTCAAAACTGCCATCATCCGGTGTAACATTGATTCCACAAGGTGCTGATAGGTTGTCCGAGGCACGTGTACCAAGCCCTCAACAACCAAATTGGTCCTGCAATTCCCGCATATTGTGAGGCGGTAGTGTGGCAGCACAAATTTGATTTTTCAGGTGGGACCACAAATGCTCTATTGTCAGGTGAATTTGGAGGCCTAGACATGACTTACCATGGACCAACGAAAATATCTCCCGCAGACCAACAGGCAAAAGTCCAACCTCTTCAAGGCTCTGGCAGCTTCTTTTTCTATGAATTGTGCAATATCTACTACTCAACTTGCTACCGCGTCCGGGGCAGCCGACGTGACGCGACCTGCAGTCCGGGGACGCGTTGAGGAATTAGCTACGAGGACAGTAAACTTTCTGCAGCTAAGTATTAATGGTACCCAGAGAAAATTGGCTGAACTCTCAGACATTTTGTTTTCCAACAATATTCATGTTGCCTGCCTGCAGGAAACATTACTTAACCAAAAACTTAATCTAAAAATTAAAGGATACACAACAATCAGAAAGGACAGGCCAGGTGGTAACGGAGGAGGAATAGCTTATCTTGTAAAGACACCAGAAATTAAATACATAGAAGTCCTTTCAACTATCCTGTCAGATACCAGTACGGAGGCTCAAGCAATAAATGTCCTTATTCAGAAGTCAAACAACAAAAATCAGCGTTAATTTTCAAAATTTTCACAGGACTAGTTTCAATGGTTTTACCGAACCACCATCCTCAGCTGCAAAACCGCAAATGAACAAGATAGGAAATAATGATTAGATAAGATAAGAAAGTCTGGACCAAGAATAAGCAAGTGGTGCCATCTGTTGGTGAAACCAGAACTAAAACATACTTTCTTTAAAGGCCAAAGGCAAAGATGGATTGGAATTAGGATTGTTAACAAGAACAGAAAGGTTTTTTTGAATGTGAAATGCCTCTAGAAAATCCAGTTCTCCAATGGAAGATGCTTTTTGAATAATTTTGGCAGCAAAAAAATTGAAAGTGTGATTTTCGGACCAACAACGTTGAGCTATGAAGACTTCTGTGTTTCCTTTTTTCTAACATATGCCTCATGTTCCTTGACGCGAAATTTTAAGGCTCTCTTAGTTTGGCCAATGTAAATTAAACCACACTGGCAAGGAATCCTATAAATACCCCAAGAATTCATATCCTTGTATTTCTTGAACAAAAGTCTTGGTCTAGAACGGAGAATGCAGTTAACCGTCATAAGAGCACCCTTGCAAATAAATTCGAAAAACTTCTTTTATAGTCTTCCAGTTCAAGTAGTTCAAAAAATCTTCCCATTGTAAACATCAAGCCAATAGTTAATATTTCTAATGTTAGTCCTTCAGAAGAACAAGAGAGAATTCTAAAATATAATTTTAACTTCTCACAAACCTGTAAACCCTCGATTCTAAAGATTTTGGCTCCTATCAAAAAACCCTTCAAGTTCAGTAAAGGTTCAGATTCACAGAAAGAAATGATTAGGCATCTTATCGCTCATAATGTGAAATTCAATAATAAACCTTTGAAACCAAAACTAACTGCGAAAGAAAGAGCTACAATGCGCGAAATTCATTCTAACCCGGATATTATCATTTCAAAGGCCGACAAAGGTGGCCAGATAGTCGTCATGGGTAAGAACACTTACATCGATGGTGTCACTAAATTCTTAAACGAAGGACCATATAATCCGATCCCTAAAAATCCTTCACCTTCGGACTTGTAAAAAATAAAAACTGCGGTCAAATCTTCACAAATCATTTCAAGCAACTTAAAACATTCACTTATCCCATCTGTTGCGAATTGTGCCAGATTATATGCTCTTCCCAAAATTCATAAAAGTGGTATTCCTTTTCGCCCTATTGTATCAAATTTAGGTACTGCCTTGTATCCCTTAGCTAAATATTTAGTTTCTAGATTTCCAACTCTATTAGACAATAACATTTACACCATAAAAAATTCAATAGAGTTTGTAAAAAAGGTTAAAAACATTTCTCTAAGAAATTTACTCATGGTTTCTTTTGATGTAAAATCATTATTCACCAATGGTCCAGTGGAGGGTGCATTAAGATGTCTAGAAACAGACTCCGCGAATTTCATTTCTCTTGCATCGAAATTGATGAGCTAATTTCTCTCATTCAACTCTGTTTGAAACAAACACATTTTGTTTTCCAAAATAAATATTAAAAGCAAACTGAGGGATTAGCCATGGGAAGCCCCCTCAGTCCCATCCTGGCTGATATCTACATGCATTATTATGAATCAAAATTGTTTGAAACTTTAAACTTCCCGGCATGGTTCCGCTATGTAGACGATACTTTTACCCTGTTTGAAGGTAATAAAGATGATTTAAATAAAGTTCTTTCAAAAATGAATTCTATTGATCCTGCTATTCAGTTCACTTCTGAACTTGAGACATGCAATTCTCCTCCATTTCTCGACATTCTGGTCACACGTAACACATCCAACTTCAGTACTACGGTTTACCGTAAACCTTCATCGGTTTGCCTTCCACCACACTTTAAATCATGTCATCTAACTAAACAAAAGTTAGCTTCATTTTATTCCTATGTTTTCCGTGCTCTTCAAGTTTGCTCCTCCAAACTAGCCCTTGATGAAGAACTAAATTATTTAAAAGCAATAGCTATTGACAGGGGCTTTTCACCCAACATTATTAATCAAGCAGTTAAAAAATTATCATCTCAACACACTAAAAGGCACACTCTCGTTTCAGGAGATTATAAAAATTCTGTTGTTATTTCCTTCTTTCCATCAATTAGCTATAAAGTTGCACATATTTTGCAGAAATTTAATTTTCGGGTTGTTTATTCTCCCATCAATAAAATTCCGAGTTCCATACTCAAGGAACCCATTCCGGATATGAATTCTTGGGGTATTTATAGGATTCCTTGCCAGTGTGGTTTAATTTACATTGGCCAAACTAAGAGAGCCTTAAAATTCCACGTCAAGGAACATGAGGCATATGTTAGAAAAAGGAAACACAGAAGTCTTCATAGCTCAACGTTGTTGGTCCGAAAATCACACTTTCAATTTTTCTGCTGCCAAAATTATTCAAAAAGCATCTTCCATTGGAGAACTGGATTTTCTAGAGGCATTTCACGTTAAAAAAAATCTTTCTGTTCTTGTTAACGATCCTAATTCCAATCCATCTTTGCCTTTGGCCTTTAAAGAAATTATGTTTTAGTTTTGGTTTCACCAACAGATGGCGCCACTTGCTTATTCTTGTCCAGGCTTTCTTATCTTATCTAATCATTATTTTCTATCTTGTTCATTTGCGGTTTCGCAGCTGAGGATGGTGGTTCGGTAAAACCATCGAAACTAGTCCTGTGAAAATTTTGAAAATTAACGCTGATTTTTGTTGTTTGACTTCTGAATTAGTACGTATTCGGCGTGTTATTGTGTCTTAATTAATAAATGTCCTTCTGGAACACTATCACCGTGATTAATGTTTACCATCCCAACAATTCTCCTATTGATACAGACCTCCTTCAAGATCTGGCATCTTCAAACTCGGAGACAAAAATCGTAAGAGACTTCAATGCCAGAGCCCTTCTTGGGGCAGCAATCTGCTGGATTCTAAAGGAACCCAAGCTGAGGACCTAACAGATGACTTGAACTTAACCATCCTCAACACAGGAGAAAATACCTACATCTCCTGAACAAATGCAACAGCGGCTGCACTTGACATCACCACCATTAGCCACCTTTCAGCAGACAGAACAAACTGGAGAGTCCTAGATTCTGCCATCAGTGACCATTACCTAGTTCTTACAACCTTCTCAATAAACCGAGAACGTCTATCGCAATCCAAGCACTAATGGAACTTCCGTAAAGCAGACTGGCCTGGGTTTACCCGAGAACTTGAGAACCTCTGCTCTGAACCAAAAGTCTGTAGTAGCCTTGAGGAACTTCTCTCTCTCTTTACTAGCCACATCCAAATCGCAGCAAAACTTCACATACCTAGAGGAAAGTGTAAGGACGATTGGATTCCATTTTGGGAGGATTATAACATCGAGGCACTTATAAAGGAAAGAGGCCAAACCAATAAAAAACTTCAAAGCAACAACAGTGCAGAGATAAGACGTAAACTTATAAAAGTAAGTCAAAAGGTGGAAGAAGCCAGCTTGGCTAGCAAACAAGAGAAGTAAACAGAGCTGTGCGAAAAAATTGACCCAAGAAAAGGAACGTCCCAATATTGGAACTTGATTAAGGCTCTAAACAACTCAAGCAGTCCAGCAGCCAACATACAGGCGGAACCTCAGTCGAATGTGATCTCCACAAACGGCTCAAACGCCAGAACAAACAAAGAAATAGGAAACTTGCTAAGCACTACAAAGCTTCTAGCAAACTCCAGTATACGACAGGAGACAAAAAAGTTAATAAAAAATACCTGTCTGTTATTAAAAGAAGCATGAAAACGACCGACAACAACATCTTCACTTCTGACTTTGATCCTGAGGAACTGCAATAAATCTGCAATAAATAGCCTGGATCAAAAGAAATCCCCCGGACCAGACCTCATTTTCGGACAAATGATAACACATTTTGGTGAATATGCCAAAAGAGACTTGCTGAATATCTTTAATATCTTATGGTGCTCTGGTAAGTTACCCAAATCCTGGAAGAACTCTGTAATTGTTCCCATCCTAAAACCTAGAAAATCTGCAAGTAACTGCGCTAGTTACAGACCTATCTCACTCACCTGCATTCC